ATTGGTACATGAGCATTCCTTTTGGCCAATGAATTATTGAAAAAGCAAAAATTGACATGTTTTGGGACACTTCAAAAAAATAAGCGTGAAATTCCAGGAGAATTTCTGCCAAATAAAACAGGCTTTTGTACTCTCCGCGTGTTTGGGTTTAGAGGTAAAGCATTAACTCTTACTTCATATGTTCCAAAAAAGAGTAAACCGGTTCTTGTTCTATCATCCATGCATGAGGATAATCAAATCGATCCATTGTCTAAAGAGCAGCTCAAGCTCGAAATGATAACTTTTTGCAACTCTACAAAAGGTGATGTTTATACTGTTGATGAGTTATGTGGAACTTAGTCTGTTTCAAGAAAATGCTACGGCTGGCCTCTAATGGTATTTTTCTGACTAATGAACATTGCAGGTATAATTGCTTTTATTATTCATCGATCAAATAACGACCAAGTGAATATGAACCGAAGAGCTTTTCTCAAAGATTGAGCATTAGAGCATGTAAAAGAACATGTGCCTAATAAGAGGCTGCAATTTTATCTCTCTCGAAAGAACTCAAAAGTGGAGTAAAAAGGTTGGCAGGAATAGAAGATGTAGCGGACCTTCACCCTTTAAGGAATTGCGTTTGTAAAAATATGTTTTCACACTATGCTCAATGTTCACAATTGTCCAAAACGAGATTATTTCAATAATTAAACTCAGGTAGGAGAGTAGGGAAGTGTGGAAAACCTATGTGTTATATTTTATTATTAGTTATATTTTTTAATATTCGTATTTAGAATCTATTTCTTTCATATGAATAATTCTATGACATTATATTGAGTTTTAAGGAAAAAAGCTAGTAAGAATGCAGCCTTTTCATATTCCTCTAGTGCTTTATCAAACGACTCTTAATAATAAACACTTATGTATAAAAATATGTACATATGAAAACTGATTTTTCTAATGTAAGAAATCATATATGTACCTTATATAAGTTAGTAATTTTGCATAAATTTCGATTTTTACGGCTTACTTTAAGTAATCAGTATGAAAATGTTTGTATAACTTTAAGTAAGATTATCTCGAATTAAAACTGGAAAAAAGGTTTAACAGAATTCACAAAGCTATTAGTTATTTATAACAAAGGAAATAAATGTTTGATATAATAAACATCTTTTTTGCTCTATGCAGGATTCAGATTTCTGATTTGCAATATTATCACATCAGGACTGCTTTATTCTAATTTAAAATTCTACTGCATGGTGAAGGTTGTAGCAGCAGTGTTTACACTTTTCTCGAAAGGCATTAGAGGTATAAAATACCTGTGATATAACCTGAATTTACCTAACCTATTTCTATTTGGAATGAGAACTGTTTAGAAGAGGAAAAGAATTTTTTAATGTTAGCATTATAGTAATGTTTTCTTCAACCTCTCTATGCATGTGTCATTTGTTTTTATCTCCCAAAAAGTGACAGTAAATTTGTGCTTTAGCACCAGTTTTCCCATTTCCTTTGAATTAGCATAGCTACTATCAGTGTGTAAGGTTCATTCATGAAATATGTATAACAATTTACAGTCAAAAGTCGTTAATCCGGACTCGTCAGGACTTTGGCGATTCCGGATTATAGATCATCAGTTTAAATCTCGTAAGATGGCATGCAGAAATTCTAAAATTAAAAATATGAAACCGTTATTTATGAAATAAAGAACAATTATGATCTAAAGGGTAACAAAATTTACAAAAAAAAAAAAAAAAAAAAAAAAAAAAATGCTTAATATTTATTTGTTTAGTTTATTAAACATTTCTATCAATGTAAGTTGTTTAAGTTGTTTCGTTTTATGTGAGAATACTTTCTCTTTAATTCTATAAACAGACATAATTTCTTGTTCAGTTACAAAGTTCCGCTGTTCAAGTCCTATAATTGCAGTGTCGAGAATATCGACTAATTTGTCAATCGAAATTGTTTCATTTTCGATAACGTCTGTGTCACTTTCTTCACTATCGGAAGCGATATTTTCTGGATCTAGAACCATACTACATATTTCGCTGTCCGTTAATTGATTGATGATTGGGGCATTGTCATCGCAATGAAAAACCTCTCTTATATCATCTTCATTTATTATCGCTTCTCCACATTTCTTTACAAAATCCAATAACTGAAAAATTTCACCTTTAGTTTGCGATGCCCGAAAACTTTCAAATTCGTGGCTATCATCTTCATCCTCCTCACCATGAAATATGGTAGATGGCCATAAATTATGCCAAGCATTTTTTAACGTACTTGGAGACACATCCTCCCACGATCTTGCGATGCTCCACACGGCAGATTTTATGCTAAAAAATTTCAAAAATTTTTTAATAGTCTTGCCACTGTTCAAGAAATTTAACATAGATTTTAGAAATGCTGCTTTATATTTGCATTTCAGCGCGTGCACTATTCCCATATCCATAGGCTGAATGATAGACGTACAATTTGGAGGGAAGAATAACACGGATACATTATCTTTCACTAAAACTTTAAGTGAATTATATGCCGAACAGTTATCAACAACCAGAACTATTTTTGAGTCATCAGGTAAACCAACCGAATTCAAATGTCGCCGAGCCTCGGGTATAAAATGATTTTACAACCAATCATTCATCAACACTTGTGTCATCCATGCTCTTTTATTTGCGCGATATATAACAGGGAAAATCGTTACTCCTTTAAACGGTCGAGGTCGTGCATGTTTTCTGATTACGAAAAGTTTGCACTTGTGCATTCCTGCAGCATTTGCGCACGCTAAAATTGTTAGTCTCGCTTTGGAATCTTTGACACCAGTTGGAGCCTTTTCTGTAGGGGTTGCCAAGGTATTTCGTGGTACATATTGCCAGAAAAGATCCAGTTTCATTCAGCATTGTAAATTTGTTCTGCAGATAATTGTTCTCTAGTAATGAATTCGAATGAATTCATCTGCAAATTGTTCAGCAGCTTCAGTATCAGCTGAAGATTTTTTACCTTAAAATTTTTAATTGTCTTATACCATGGCGATTTTTAAATTTGGTTAACCAACATGTCGAATATGTGCACTCAATCCGTTTAAGTTCATTTCTTCAGTGAAATATTTTAGCTTGCAGCCATTACCATCTGTGACTCCATCAATGGCACACCCTCACTGCAATGCTGTCTGACACATTCAATCAATCACTTTTTTCATGATCGTTCACTTTTAGCATAACGAAATAATTTTTTTCTGTTATCATTGTTACAAGTGGGTGTCGGAATCCACAAAAAATTCAAAAAGTTCCTTTTTTCTGTTTTCTTATGTCATATTACAGTTGACTCTCCAATGTTATATTCCTTGCATAACATTTGAGACAGGATGCCTTTATCTAATTTTTGCAGCATGGATATCCACTTTTGTTTGATGGATATGGAAACATACTTTCGTTTTGTAGATCCTTTGGAAATTCCAGCATCGGAATTTCTATTTGACATAATCGAAAGTTCAAGTTTATTTTTATAAAATTGCTCTTACAGTATGCAAAAAATAATAAGCGGGATCCAATTTGAAGATTAAGGAACAACGCAATCATTAACATTAACTGAAATACATAATTAGATTATTTTAGCTTACACCGTCCGTTATTCATTTAAACACGAACTCGAAAACGTATTCTGCACTTGCGTGCACGCATATGCGCAGTCATCAAGGTCTTACGCGCAAGCGTAAAACGCCTGTGCACATGTGCCAACGCGGCGCATGCGCAGAAAGTTTTTAGCTTTGAGGTCCGGATTTATGGGTGTCCGAATTAACGACTTTTGACTGTACAATATTTCATGTATATTGTTATTAAACACTACAACACGTTATTAACCTTTTGCAGTTGTATGTTCACTCTCAGCCACCAAATTCTTTTTACTGTTCCGGTCGTTTGTCTGCTCTCAGCCATCACAGCATGGAACTATACGAATCGTATTCTGCATGCATTCCATGTATCAGTTTACACTTTTCCTATATGAACCTCAATGCCTAAAGAACCCATTCATGAACAAATACGGTGCTCCATCGATTGGAGATAACGTAATCTAATCTAAACAAAAGTTGTGACCCAGCGCTCGCCATGCAAGACGCAGTGGCGAGTCAGTCGTCTTTTGAACATAATGAAATCGACAATATCTTGTAGAATTCCAAAGAATATAAATAGACATTCTCTCTTCTTAAAATATTCCAAAATAATTCCCCAAAGTTCAGCTAGAAGAGAGAACAGGACACCTATGCCACATTTTATGTTTGCCCGAAAATTGGTGGCACAACTGGTAGGTGATTTTCATGACGGAGCAGATTCAAAACCAGGAAGATCATCGACCACTGATAAGGAAGAGAGACTTAATGAAAAAGTGCATATACTGCGGCATTGTAAAATGTAAAGACTGTAGTGTATGTTCAAACAGAAAGATTAAGGATGGAAGGCACCAAACCAATTATTTTTGCGATACATGCACTTGAAAACCTGGCCTGCATGTTGGAGAGTGTTTTGAAAAATATCACACGAAGGAGAATTATAAAACATAATTTTTATACAAAAACATATCACTAGATTAGTGTATTGAATAAAGATATATCTAAAGTTCACAAAAGAATTACTAAATCTTGTTTATCCATCGTAAACTTGTGTGTTATGTATCCCTGCTCTATCGACGGAAATTAATTCCGACCAGTACCATACCCATCTCCAAATTTAATCCGACCGCAAAGGGTTAAACACTACTTTTTTATTATTGTTATTAAACATGTAGTGTTTAATAACAATAATAAAAAAGTTCTTTTTAAAAGAATCAGCAGTTACTTTAAATGCATCTTAAAAACTTTAAAATTTTGAAAAAATATACTGAACACAAAATTTTTCATAAAAACTAATTTTTATATTCAATAAAAAATATACAAAATTGAGTGATTTTTATTACATAAGTTCTATAGAAATATTGTAATTATATACAGAAAGAAACAATTTAAGTTTTTTTTTTTTTTTTTTTTTTTTTTGTTTTTTGTTTTGGTTCTATGCTGCAAAAATTTACAATTAATGGATTATTTTGAACTTAGACTAGAAAGCAAACATTATATTTAAAAATATTTATATTTAAATTCTGCATCAAAAATAAAAAATTAACATCAACCATTACCTAAGATTATGATACAATTCAAATTACATATAAATAATTAAGTTTCGATTTCATGACTCAGATCTTCAGGTACTTCATAAAATGCATTTTGGTTTGCTGGAGATTTGACAACAGTAGCACTGCTATTACTGCCTATGCTATCATAGTTTATAGGAGCATTTGATGGATAGTCCATTTCTTGATTTGGAACAAGGAGTTGCTTCTCTTCTTCATAACCAGCTAAATGCCGTCCAGACACCGACATTTTTACTTTTTTCCCTAAGAAAAACATACATGTTTAAATGAAATTTTTATTTTAAAATATGTTTACAAATAGTACTTGCTACTTTCCGATTTTCTGCACCCCCTATTTTGACTTTCCGTAGAATTGCCTGTTTCTTGGTGTATTTGAGTAAAAATGCAACAGTAAATGATCTTCACATGTGTTTACTGAACAGGCTTTTGAGTGCTGTATTTACATGCTTTATATTTGTCATTTTGCTAAACAATATCCATCGACTGTAAAAATGTGAATATTGAGTTTATATATATTCTAAAAAAAGTTCTTTTTATTATTATTTATGAACAGAACAGTACCTATGAGCTGTAAAGGTAGTTAAATAGATTTTTTGCTGATTGACAAAATCGCCAACAATCACAAAGTTGGCGACGTTTTGTTGGTGATTTGTAATCAGAAAGTACCAAGCATGTTTTAAATCAAAAATAATTTTTGTTATGCAAGAAACAATTACAAAAGATGTAAATTATTATTAATTTTTAAAACAGCAATCTACAGGAGAAATTAAAACTCAAAACTTAAGGCATTACCAAACTGAACTTGCAATGTTTTTAAGTTTAGATTGTATTTGAATACACAAAAGAAACCTAAACTACTCAAAAAAAAGCATTTTAGATTAATGAGATCTATTATTGTTTAAAAAATAATTCTTAAATGAGTGCCTCTTTCAAACAATTCCTTCTTCACAACTTCTTTAAAAAGCCTTCTTGTTAAGTAATTGCAGACAATTTTCTAACAAGAGAAAAAGCATTAATTTTGAACTATGCAATGAAAACTTTAGCTTACAGTACTACACCTCGAAGAAGTTATACATAATAAATGCATGGTTCATACAGTTCTTATAAGTCCTTAGATTTTTTGGAATCAATTTTTGATCCTTGAAAGTTCTTAAATTTAACCAAATTTGGCAGGAGGTCCTTAATCATCTGAAATTTCTGCCTGTTTTTAAGGCTACCATTTTGAATGTGAATTAGCATTTTGGGCAAATATTTTTGACAATTCATTGAAAAATATACTTCTGAATGGGTGCCTAGGTTCATGAATTATAATTTGTTTCTATTTCTAATATAAATGGTGCGATACTCAAGTTTCTGAGCAAGAAGTGAAGCATAAGCATTTCAAAATTACTTCACTTTTTCTAATGAAGAGCTAGCTCTTAAACAACTTTTCGCTTTTGGGAATGTGATTTCTTTATTAAAAGGTTCCAAATTTGGCGACTTATAAACATTTTGGTGATTTTAAGATCAGTTTCTATAGAAAATTTTAATTCAGAAATCTGGGAATTTTTCGACAATATTTTTTTCAAAACACATTATAACATTGATAAATTTCATTCAAATAATGCTAATATATTGAAACTGTATTTAAGAAATAACATTAAAATGAAACATTTTTATTTTTCGCTATCATTTTATAAGTGACATTAATTTCCGTTTTAGCAACTTATACAATATTTTGAAAGTAAAAAATAAACAAGGTAATAATTGCTTGTTGCACTTTAGCACAATTTATGAAACAATTCTTAGCAAAAGCAAAATAACTATGTAAGTAATTAAAAATGCCTTCATTTTGATTTTCCTATGTAATTGTCTCAATATGCATCAGTTTTCTCTATACAATTAATTTTACACTTTTTTCTTCATGATTTTTCCTTCAACATATTTCTGGCTTTTTGCTGTTACAGAATTGTTAGGGGTAATTTTTCTTTAGGATTTTAGAATTGCAACTTGGAAAGTTTAGAAAAGTTTGGAGTTTTCAGAAGAACAATGAAAACATAATATTTGAACGTTTTACTTCTGGTACTAAATAGAAGTCTTTTCTTAACATGTTTTATCTTCCCTTTGTTTTCACTACACACAAGTATGGAAAATATCAAAAATGCTTCTTATTTTATTACATGGGCAGGCATTTATGGAAATGAATTTTCCTATTAATAAAGATATTGAAAACTGACAATTTAAAATATTCATCTTATATGTCTCAATGCATCGTCCGTGGCATAGCTTGGGCCAAGGGGGAACATCTTTCCCTGAGCACAGCATCCATAGGCTGCCAAATTGATGTCACAAAATTTTAGAAGGCAATGTTTTTCATGCTTGGCATACAGAAGGAGGCACAAAATCTTCATTTGTCTCCATGCATCGAAAACCCTAGCTACGTCTCTGTGCATCATACAGGGCTATGCATTTTCCCACCCGATGCAATCTCTGTGGATCCTAAATTATGCTGCCTAGTGCCTTCCTAAATTATAAAATTTTGCCATTTCTAGATTTTTTTGCTCAGTGTGTCACTAAATTCTAAAAATTCTGCTACACCCGCCCTTACCATATGTCATTTCATATATATTCTGAATGTTCATATAAGAAATAAAATTAGCACCTTTCCCTATATGATATAAATGCATTTAATTTTTTTAGAATAGCAGCAATCTTTAATTAAATCCCAAAATTCTGAAATTAAGAGGAAATATATTGAAGAAAGAAATTGAATACATAAAGAGAAAGAAAATTATTCTTCAAACATATGTGCGTTATTATTATGTAAATTAAGCAGTTGTTTATAATTTCAGTCTTAGCTATAATTTTCCCTTTCTGTTTCCTCACTAGAATGAAAATCACATAGTTTTTAAACTAAGGTTTTGGGGTTGTAAGACAGAATTTATTTCTGGCCTCCGCTTTGAATTTGAATGTTCCTGTTTAATTAGATCATCATAAGCTGTAGTTGATTTTGCTAGCATTAGAACACGCCTTTATATCCTAAGGTCTTTTTAAATAAAAGATTTATTTAAACCTTTATGTGACTTTGTAATTACTTTCAGATGCAGCGATAACTTGCTTCACGTCTGTCAGGGGTTTTAGACTATTTAACTTTTTAAAACCTCATAGGCACATAGTTGACAGATTGAAAAGTTAGGAGATAAAACACGCAGAGACTATTGGGAATATTGGTTTGCATATTGAAACAAATTTCTAATTGTTAGAAAAGATGCTTAAAGAGAAGGAAATTGATATAAGTTAGCCAGAATGTCTGAAAAGGCTTCAAATTAAAAAGATGCACAAATATTCTGTTATGCAAATTTTATTTCCAGTCGCTGAACTGAGGAACAGCGTAGACACAAATTTGTTAGGTTTTTAAGCATGCATTTGGAGCTTTAAAGTTGCTGAGAATTACTGGAGTTCCAGCAATGAAGAGGGTCTTCAGAAGCAAGAGGTTTACCATGTTCTGTCACTGTCCCTCAGCCAACTTGATGTGTGAATACCAATAAAAAGATTCGGTCATGATATGACTCTGATGTTTCTTAAGTTCAACTGAGGTAATCGCAAGTCCTACAGTCCATTATTAAACAAGGAAACGCACATGGTTTTGGTCCGTCAAGTAGGAGCTGCAGTAAAAATGGTGAGTCAGTGTATTTCTGTATCTTTCCTATTAAATAATGGAATTTACTATGCTTAAGATGAAAAAGCATGTAGCTAAAAGCTAAGTTAACTAAACTAAAGGAGAAAATTAAAGTGTCTTAAGATTCTGCTAATTAGGCTCAGTTAGAACTTTTTAAATCCAGTTTAAGTAATGTAATGACCGTTTTTGGATATTTTTAGTAACATTTTTGTAGATTGTGAAGAGAAAGACATTGACGTGTTTATAGAAGAATAAGACATTCAACATACTGTTGACGAGTTACTTTTAACGCTAAACAGAATTAATGTTCAGAATGTTAAAGATAGCAGTGTGGAAGCTAAATCTTGTGAAATAGTGAGTATTCACTTACTTAAGCTAACTCTTCCTATATTTAGTGGTAGTGCTGAAGAATGGTTATCATTTTTTGATTTATTTGAAACAGTGACAGTGGCTAACGACAGATTATCAGCTGCTCAAAATGTACAATATTTAAAAGGCTCTTTAAAGGGAGATGCTTTACGGATCATTCAAGTTTTAACTATTCGTGATAGAAATTTTGAAATCGTATGGAATTTATTGTGTCAAAGATTTTCACGTAAGAGAGAATTACTTTCATCATTATTAAAGAAAATACTGTATTTATCAAATTTACATACTGAAAATCCTAGTGAGTTATTAGTGTTAGTAGATATCGTAAGAGAATGTGTATGTTTGTTTGAAAATTTGGGGTTCAAAGTGGAATAATTCACAGATACATTTTAATGATAATAGTACAATTTAAATTAGATTCTTCTACGAAAGGATGGTGGGAAAGAACATTAAAGCATGAGGAAATAACCAACACTTAATGACCTAAAAGAATTCTTAAAATCTCATCCAGTACTCTGCAAGCAAGTAAGCCACAAAGTGTTAAAAAAAACGTGCAAGAGACAAATTAACCTGGTTGGCTTCAGAGATTCATGCGCAGTGTACATATTGTAAAGCCTGTCATTCAGTATTGAAATGTAATAAGTTTTTAAATCTGAATGTTAAGGAGCATATTAATTTTGTCAAGAAAAACAATGTTTGCTTTAATTGTTTAGTTTCAAATCATAAAGCTCTCAAGTGTAGAAGTGTTCATAAATGTAAAAAGTGCTTAAACTACATCACACATTACTGCATTTCGAAAGAAATTTTAAGAGTTCTAGTCCACTAATTAAATTTTGTGTATCAGACTTTAATTTTCAGCATGAAGTTTTATTATACATGGCTATTACTATAGTGTTTATCTGGTGAATACCAATTGTGTAGAGTCCTCCTTGATCTCGGCAGTCAAGCAGCCTGATTTCAAAAGACTGCATACAGACACTATGGTTACCAAGAAGAAATGCCAAAGTTTTTATTTTATATTTAGGGTTGTTGGATATGAAAACTAATGGAATTATGGAAATAAATTTCGTCCTGTATTTTCCAGTGAAAGTGTCATTTACAACACCAGTATTTATCATCAACAGAATTATTGGAACCTTGCCACATTTTACATTAGATACAAAGTATGTTGACAAATATACTGATTTAACCTGGTTGATCCAACATTCTCCTACAGTGGGACCTGTTGATATACTTTTAGGCGTGGATATTGCTTTACCTCTTTTGAAGGGGGAATTGATTAAATGCCAAGAATATAAACCAGCAGCCTCTTATTCTGAACTAGGATGGATTATTTTGGGTAGTGTTAATAATTCATCAGAGGTTAATCTCACTATCTATGTGAATAATATACAAGTGGAAACTGAGCAGTTGCTTTCTAGCTTTTGGAAATTGGATGCTGTACCTACATTTGACATGCTTATCAAATCAGAAAGATCATGTGAGGATTACTTCAAATCTACATTTATGAGGGAGGAAAGTGGTGTATATACTGTGAAATTAACGTTTCATTCTCTGCCTTCTCAGCTTGGAGATTCGAGATAGTTAGCTATGCATAGATTCAGGCCTCAACTATATGAACAATATAAGGATTTCATGAGGAAATACCTTGACATGAGACATATGGAAGGAGTGCCTGAGAGAATGATTTTTATTGATTCTATGTATTACATGCCATGTTGAAGAAATCAAGTACTAAACTGAGAGTCGTTTTCAATGCTTCAGCTAAAACAACATTGGAACTTTCGTTAAATGACTTTTTGATGGTTGGGCCAAGAGTTCAGCAAGAGTTGTTTCCAATTCTTCTATGGTTCAGAACTTACAAAATTGCGGTATGTGCCAATGTAGAGAAGATGTTCAGACAAATTCGTGTCCACCCAGAAGGTACAAATTGGCAACAAATACTATGGAGGGATAGTTCTAGTGAGCCCTTGAGTACATTCAAATTAGTAACAGTTATGTATGGGACTGTCTGTGTATCATATTTGTCTACTAGTGTAATGAAACAACTTGCAACAAAAAATTGCCCTTCGTGACTTTTATGTTGATGATTTGCTTTCAGGGGCATGAAGTGAAGAGGAAGCGGTTGTTTTAGTTCAGCAGTTAAATGAAATGACGGAAAGAGGTGAATTTCACTTAAGGAAGTGGATTACGAACAGTTCAGAAATTTTCACAATATTCCTGAATGGTTACGAGAACCCAGTACTTCTCTGGAACTAACCAGTGATATGAAAGTGAAGGTACTGGGCATTAATTGGAACACCTCTAGTGATACATTTCATTTTTCAGAATGCATAAGTGATAAGGAGTTTATCAAGAGGACTATTTTATCAGAGGTAGCTAAAATCTTTGATCCAATGGGATGATTAGTGCCAACAATGATATACACAAAAATATTATTACAAGAGTTGTGGAGGTTACAGCTTGGTTGGGATGAAATTATTGACAAGAGAATAAGCAGAAAGGTTTCTACTTAGAATTTCCCTTACTATCAAGTTTACAAATTATGAGGTATGTCTTGAGTTCAAAGGCAATAATTATAGAAATTCATGCTTTTTGTGATGCTTCAGAAAATGTTTATTGTGCAGTCATCTATTTCAGAACAATCAGCTCTGATTCATCAGTCAAGCCTTCTGACATCAGAAACCAAAATAGCTGCTCCCTTAATAATATAATAATATATTATAATTATATATAATATATATATATATATATATATATATATATATATATATATATATATCAAGCAAAGCAGTAAATAACAATTTTTGTCAAGAAAACATCTTGCGCAATATGCTGCAAAATAAGTAAAAAATAAAAATTGTAGAAAGCTCGCCTAAAAGTTACCAAGAGCTGCTGCTTCCAAAAGGTTAAAAGACGTTTTTTAAAAAAATTAATACACATGAAAAGCAAAATCATTAGACATGTAAAACATAAATACAATAAAATTAAATTAAATAACAGAAAAAGTTAAAAAGTAAGCGGAAAATGGTAAATTAGCCCAATTCGATATCCAAACAGGCTTTTCAAGGGAAATTTCAATTATTTGAACGTCGAATCAAGCCAACCCCATTACGCGTTTCGCCGAAACAGACAATTGAAACTTTTTCGCTAAAAAAATTTTTGACAAAGTGTCTTGGAAATTTTAATAGTCTAAATTATAATTAAAAGATATTTTGCTTTTCTTTCTTGTAAATATCATCTTAGTGAATGTAAGTTTACGAAAATACAAACTAAGTAATTACACAAACTCAATTAATAAATGCTGTTTAAATACAGGTCTTCATAGATTAAGGAGACCAAATAAAATAACTAACACTGACAAATAAAAGATCTTAAGCATTGTTGATTTTCAACAGTGCGACACACAGGACTTTGTTGCCAACTAAATGCAATAACACACTTTCAAGGTGAAAAAAAAGGAAAACATAAAGATGTTTAAAGAGCAGGATAAATATAGTTCTTCCCTATACAACAACATTCACAGTATTTTGTTTAAGTAAATAAGGGAATCAAACTTAGAAATCTCAAGTACTCACCAACATGACGAATATGATCTGTAACATCTTGAGTGACATCCGAAACATCCCACATGCTCATAAAAGATAAACAACATGGTACTTGCTGTGCTGCCATGTCGATGTATGGTGTGTGAGAAAAAGCAAAATAATGGGCAACAGAGGCTATGAACATTTCTATACAAATCAAAAAGTTCTGAAATAGACAAAGAAAGTTCTTAGTTCTTTTGTCTAAACCTTTTCTTAAGTGGTTCAATAATCTAGGTATGGAAAAGATGCATCAGCTGAGTCTTAAGGCAGTGGTTCCAAAACTTTTCCGAGTCATGACTCCTTTTTCCGATTAAAATTTTTCCATGTCGCCCTACCCTAAATATGACTAATCGTACATAAGAGATAAAAAAAAAAAAAAAAAAAAAAAAAAAAAGAGAGAGAGAGAGAGAGAGAAGAAGAAAAAAAGAAAGAATAAATAAAACTCATGCATCTTCATCATTTAACTTTTTTTTTTACTTTATGAATATTAAATTAATAATCATTGTGAAAGATAGCATGCAAATCACTGCACATTTTCTCAAATCGTGGAGATAAACTGGACACATCCACCTTCATTTCCTTTTCCATGCTAATTTTTGTTCTATACTTGCTTTTATTACAGTGACTGCCGAAAACCAAGCTTTGTGCAAATATGACATAGGAAATGGAAGTAAAATCTCTGAGCCTTATCATGTAGAAAAGTATATACATTTTTTATTGAAATCCAAAATTATTTCAACTCCATGCTGCCAAATTTTGTTTCCAAACTGCTGTTGCACGATAATTCGATAAGATTCTCTTCTACAAAAATAAATTCAGACAGAGAATTTGTTTTAATCTTGAATACATGCAAACATGCCGAAATTTTCATTCTGAACGTATTTCTCAAACCATGATTAGCTGTGATAAGTGCCCTTCAAACATGGTTTTTATATATTGAGAAAGATCAAGTTAATTTGATGTCAAAAATTGCTGCAATATTAAAAAACAATCTTTGGCTACATCTTCATTCACTGTTCTTCTCCGTAAATTTTTTTTTTTTTTTTTTTTTTTTTTTTTAAATTAAAGGCTGATATTTTTTCCCTGAAGCTAGATTGAGAGAATTCAGCTTTTTAAAAATGTCACATAAAAATGCCGTTTTATTAAAAAATCAGCGTCAAAATCTTCTGCATCTTTATATCCTTTTTCATAAGGAAAATAAAACCTTCTTTCTGCAATTCAAAGGTATGTAATAAAGCATTACCATGTGAGAGCCATCGTGCAGTGCTATAATACAACAAAGATGAATGTTCGGCTCCCACAATTTTTTTAAAAAAACCTTTCCAGGACCGGATTTAGATCTGATGAGATTTTAAGCTATTTGAGATATGGGGCCCTATATAAGGGATATCAGTCAATTTTTTTTATATGGGATATGCTACAATTTTATAATGGGGGGGGGCTAAGCTATAGCTTGTTCAGCTTATATGTAAATCTAGCACTTAACCTTCTTTCAATGGACGAGATTTCATAAAATTTTCCACATTGACTGCACATTCTAACATCTGATTCAATACAGGATTCAAATGCTTTGATACAAGTGCATCTGTGTGAATAATGCAATGGGTCCACAATGCATTTTGTGATTTGCTTCGAATAAGTATCTATATAATCCTTCATAGCAGCCAGACATGCAGCGAGCTCCATGAGTACCAACACCAATGGACTTAGACCAATTCAAATTATTTTCAGATATGAATGTATCAAGAATCTCAAATAGATTTTGTGCCTTTGCTCCTGTAGTAATATTTTTACAAAGCAGACTATCTTCTTTAATATTATTATCATCTATAAACCATACATAGCTTATTAAATGAGCATCTGTATTATTATCTGTAGCCTCATCTAGCTATAATCCGAGTTCCACTCCTTTAATTTTTTCAATTAATTAATTCTTTATGTCCTCTACCATATCTTCTATTCTCCGACTAATTGCACAAAGTCACTTTTAAAAGCAGCCTCCCAGCACTCTCACCAACCATCATGTTCATCATATCTACAGCAGCCAGTAGAATAAGTCTTCTGCAATGGTATGAGTTCTTACATTTTGTGATTCTGTAAGCCACCTTGCAAGACGCTAGCAAAGTGGTGTTCTTTTTTTTTTTTTTTTTTTTTTTTTTTTTTTTTTTTTTTTTTTTTTTTTTTTTTTTTTTTTTTGTACTGATGCATTCATGCAGTTTTTTAAAAAAAGTTTTGTTGTTTCACTTCTTTCAACTTCCTGGCAAAAAATCCTTCAGGTTTGCCAACGATGCTGTACTGATTAGCTTTTAAATGGCATTTCCATTTTCTTGGAAGCATACATTCCACTGCCAAAATGCTCACATAATACACACTGTGGTCTCAATTCAACATTAATTTTTGTTGACGTAAAAGCAAATTAAATAACCATCATCATATTTACAATATATTCGTTTCTTGACGGTTGTGCCCAGAGCCTTTCCTAGGCCACTGGCCCATGTACCTTCCCAAAAAATGCTCATTGATTAGTCAAATTTTTATTTCATACTCAATAAGTACTTATATATGACTTGTATAAAAAGTACTCACACAAAACAAATACTTACAATGAATTTAAAATATTTAGTCGTTGGTATTGCAAGAGTCTGGCTGCCCCTGATTTCTGTTGTCTGCGTACTTTTACATGTGCTGCAACCCCCGCCTAGGAACGGTCCTGGTCATGCCACTAGTTGAAGACATACTTTTTATCTGCATTATTAAGTTTATTACTGTTCCAAAAATTGGCCTATCATCAAAGATACAACAGCAAAAAATCACAAGACAACAAACAGGAAGTTATATAACACATGAACTTAAATTTACATAACTGTTTATTTGTGCTGAATTTAATTTTACTACACTCAAATTATAAACTGATTGACTAAATTTAGCTGGTAGTGCTTGTTTATATGCTTTCCACAAGATCTTCCAGAACAGTCCAAAATCTTTCATGAAGGGTCTAGGTATCTTGACGGCTCTATATTAGTGGTTAACAAAAGTTGAGAACACTGGATATACAGAAAATGTATGCATCCACCGTAGAATATAGTTCTACCATTTTGAGATGTCATATTGTAAAACTTGATTACATTGCATCCAGCTTTTTATTTAAAAATTTGCTAATAATATGCCAATGATTCATTGACCAATAGGAAGACATTCCCTTTTTTGGTATTATTGGCAAAACTCTCAATGAAAAAAGCAAGTAATGCATTCACTCATTCACTATGCAGGAGAAGAAGAAAGCAATTGTTATGGCATTTGCTTCATCTCTGACATATGCATATAATTTCAAAATCTTATAAGGCTGGAACCTTTAGCTAAGATCATCATCAATGCTTTTGTCAAATTACGGGAATATTTTCCTAATAAATCCGGTAATGAAATTGTTACTTTTGCTGTTGATTTGACTGTCATTTCTGTGACAAGGATAAATTGCATGAAATCTGACCTGAAAGAAAATGGTGGATTTTCAAATCTGAGGAAAAAAATCTCTGAAAGTCGGTACACACAAACCCAAATCAAACAGCATGATGAGCTAACTTTATCAACAATAACTAAGACAACTTCACCATTTCTTTTTAGGACATAAGCCATGAAAAGGTAGTCCTAGCCTTGCATCTGTTCTCAGGTTAAACTGTCCTGAGATATAATATGATCGAGAAGACAAGGCATTGTCAGCTTGCATTGACAAGATCATTCTGCAATGTCAACTTTACTTTTATACAAGCTCAAGTAAAAAACAAAACAAACCACACAAAATATCTAGATATTTGAAGCTTCTCCTTTTTTGCTCGCTTGTTAGGCTAAATGTATTGGTTCAATTAATTAAGAGGCTTTTGCAATATTTCATGTCTCATTCATGAAGATGCCACAATTCCCCAGGGCACCACGGTGCACAGTTTGGGAACCACTGTCTTAAGGTAGCAAACTGTTCTTAATTAAGATCTAGTTGTATTTACTGCAAAAGATGTGAACACTTTATCTTTTCTTTCTGCAATAAATTGAAGTACAAAAATCAGGAAATATCAAAATATCAACAAAATTTTAGTATTAAATAATGACATAAATAGTGAATTCTCCTTATGATGAGCCCCATAATTCTGATCACCTTTAGAGATGGTTCCCTAACAGAAGAGACATTTTAACCCTCAATTTGTGGACAGAAAGCACTTAAAAAATTCTGTATTTTTTTTTTTTTTATATTTTAAATTTATATATATTGGAGAATTGAAATATGCATCTTTTCTTTTTAGAAAAGATTTTTTATATAGATTTTTATCATGAGAAACTAAGCTGTCAGAAAAACTAATTTCAGATGTTATCACGAAAAAAAATTCAATCAAATTATAGTTAACTTCTATTTATTACATAATATAAAAAAGTAAAACAGATAAAAACTTAAGAAAATATAATGAACCAAGGAAAAAATACCTTAGAAATGTAGCTTAGTATGAGAGAGTTCGAAATAGGGTTCAAGGCAAAGTCCAACTTCACAGTCTTTGCACTAGATTTGTGTTTCTTTGCGAATTTTTTTTCCATTTGCATCTTTTCTTGCATTCTTTTTTTCTATTTGCATCTTTCTTTCATCAATCACAAGACTAGTCTTTGCTAGTTTCTAGAACTTCTTTGTAATTTTTTTTTTTTTTTCATTTGCATCTTTCTTTCACTAATTGCTAAACATTTTCTAGCAGCCATTTTTGATTAGAAAAGGTAGCAAACATAGTGAAGTTTAGAGCGGTAACTACCAAGTACCTTCAAATGCTGAAATTTAGTGGACGACTAATGACATCTGTTGGTCAAAACCTAAATTAAACATCTAATACTGTATATAATTTATTTCACTGGCTAAACAGTAAAAAGACATGTGCACTCCTCAGTAAAGGAAGAAAAACACATGACTGCGAAAATCATGGGATGAGCAAATTTTGCTACATTTGAGTTGCCTGCAGAATTTGCAGAATGAGCAGCCAGAAGGTTAATACCAATTTTTGTTTTCAGAATTGCTGATTGTTTTCTGAGGTTGGTCAGTATGAAAAAATTTATTGTATCAATATACTCTGATGAAAATGTCTATTAAGTCAAAAAAGACAATTTTTTTATTAATTGTATTATCTATAAAACTATAAATTTTCTTTCATTAATAAATTTTTATAAATAAATATAAATAAAAACAAATAACAAGTAAATTTTTATTCATACAATTTTATCTCATGTTACTTAGCATTGAAAAGATAAGTAATTCAAGAATTTAATTTAAAAAGATGGAAAGTTATTCTGATATTCTTAGTATTATCTTTATGATAAAATTTAAAAAAAAAAAAACTTGATTTATGATACTGAAATTATGACATACTCATTTTCTTGAAAAGAACAAACATTTCAATACAGCTTTTTTAATAATTATATAAGGTATATTAGGTATAAACATTACCATGCAGAAGGAAATTATAATTAAAAAATGAAGTATAGAAAGAGAGAAAGGATGAAATAAACTTCAAACAAAAATGCATATTCTGCTATACGATCAGAAAATAAAGTACGGATGTTAAAATAAAATTCTCAAAGATAAAGTTGCTTGATTCAAATTAAAACATGACTAATATCCAGATATGATTTACTAATATTGATAATTAATTAAAAAAATTAAAGTTCCAATCTAGATACCACTTTATGATTGAAAGCTTCTTTGAAATGATAAATGCATATAAAGGAACATAAAATAATGAAATTTGGTATTCATAACATATATGAATTAAAAAAAGGATATAATAATGATATTCCACAACAGCAAAAGAATTATTTGGTTAAAGCAGCTACTGAGTAAAATGTCTATGTGATGTCAAATCATTTCTGATTTAGATAGAAGCATTTATCTGGTATAGCATCAGATATATTCTTTATGAGTATTAGCTTATGCCATAGTATGGTCAGGCATGATCCAACTGTTTAGAAAATTTACTTATATTTGGGCAAGAGTTAATTCACATTCCATCCTTGGCTAAACATTAATCAGGAAGAAGTCAGATGATTAGAGTAGTCTTGGAAGAGTATTAACACCAGAGAAGTACTCCTTGAACAGTTGTACAACCAAGTCTGAGCTCTAACTTGCAAAGTTGCAACTTAAGAATTTGGTAAAATGGTATTGTAACAGACAGCACAATGTTATATACATACTGTGTCAGTGTGAGGTTGGTATGGTGGACTGTTAGTGGCACACCTTACAAAGGCCCCCCCCCCCAAAAAAAAAATCTCTGACAATAGTAATTCCCACATTACTGATGTCAATGTAAAATCATCATATATTATTCTATAACAATGAGAAATTACATATGGTGGCCAGCTTTTCTAAAAATATATCATACTGCTCCTCTATGAAATTGTCAAGGATTGAAAAAGTTCTAATTTTTCTCAGTAGTATTTCATATTGATGGATTGACTACAATGGCAATGCTAACACTAATAAAGTGTCTAATTCTTCCTCATCTAGCAAATGTTGCCATACTAAGTCTAATGATCCATGTATCACTAACATAATCAATAAATACTCTCTAAGGATTACATAGCAAAGTATGAAGATACAGACTAATCCAAGAAATAGCAATCAATGGGAGGACCATGCATTCATGCTCTAAGGACAGTTCAGGAAACTTTCTTTGTACTGACAAATTTAAAGGTTTTAATATGACCCCTGCTCAGTCTTGACAGGTCTCCTGGCAAAAACTGTATTTCTTTTTGGATACCTGATATAATGAGTAGAAATTTCCTGCAGAGCTATATTGCATATTTTAGCCATAGTTAAAGTGACCTCCAAGTCTTATTAAATTGCATTATATGTCTTATCAAATTACATTATAAGGTGGTGAGGGGTGATACTGAGTAGAATAGATGAAGATATCTTGAGAATTTTTTTCAAATAAAATCACTCCAAGTTTGAAGGCTATTCTATTAGATGAGCTCAAGCTACAAGATCAGATGGAAATTAGTCTTTAACATGTCAGCTCCTCAAGTGATTAGTTCTTTTTAAATTGCACCCTTCTCTCTGCTACAATTCAGTTATGACTAGTGTTAGAAAAGTGCCTTGATCAGTGTCAGACAATTGTGTCTAATTAATCAGTGGCACACAACAGAGTAGCCTCTAGATTTCCTGTTTTGCATGTTAACTGAAAACAATCCAAATGAACACTTTATACTTAAAAACAGCATTCTATGGGTGTGATATGGTTGGTGATGCTTGTATAGCTTTCCAAGTACTTTATCATGATATTCTGTCATCTCTCTGGCTGTTCACTGCACACACATTTCTCAATTGTGCCTTCCATACCTAAGTTGCAGTGTTATTTAAATAGAATATAATTCCAACCCTACTGCTGAATGATATGTGATTATTCCATCTGGTCTCTTTCAGTCCAATAACACTGCCTCTTAATAGCTAAATACTGTGCACAGATTTAAAGCATCCTTGCAATATATAGGAGCTCATGCAACATCCACTTGCTATCACAATCAGTTAAATTTGACCTTTCACAGTTTTTCATATGCTCTGGTACACCATTATTTAATTGCTGGCCATGATTTCTTAACTGCTTATTTGGCGCTAAGGAATTTCTATGCCAAATTTCATCCAGATCAAATGATGCTTGATCTTTTGTCAAAGAATACACACACATCATACATGTATATTTTAGAATTATCAATAATAATACTTTTTGAAATTTTTTATTTTAATGCTCATATATAATATGTATAAACTATTTACCTGTAAGCTTCTGCCAACTTCTGCTATATCTCCACCAGGAGAAGTGAAAGATTCAGTGATAATACCAATATATGTCAAAACAGCAATAATTACAGACTGGCTGAAAGAATTTTAATAAAGGTTATAAAGAAACAATTAGATGTGCTTAGAATTTTACCCAAAAAGAGAGTAACATTACACGACAATTCTTAAAAAATCTGTCCATAATACATGTTTCTTGTTATAAAAGTTTAAAATAATGAACAATCTTCAAACATCCATTAATATAGGTACAAAGTCCGAAATCCGGACTCGTCGTAACTTCGGCGATTCCGGATTTGGGATATTTCCAGATAATAGATCATCAGTTTAAACCTAGTAAGATGGCATGTAGAAATTATAAAATTAAAAGTATGAAATCGTGATTTATGGAATAAAGAAGTATTTATGATCTAAAAGGGTATCAAAATTTACAAAAAAAACTTAATATTTATTTGTTTATCTTATTAAACATTTCTTTCAATGTAAGTTGCTTCTTTTTTTGCTAATACTTTCTCTTAAATTGAACCGGTGCAGCTATACGAGCCCTGGCGCTGGTTCTGGGTTTATGTGAATAACAAATTAGTTATTCTTAATTCAAATAATGTAATCTTTGGGTCTAAGAGTATCATCAACAAAATCTGTTTTTAGCATATGGAAAGAAATTTTTGATAAATTTTTCCTCGTCAACATTTTTTAGAACATTTAACTTAAATCTGCAATCATCACCAAGCGTAATGTCAACATCAAAGGTTACCATAATCCTTTATTATTCAGTTATGTATCTATGTGGAATGTTTTGGTTTGAGATGTGTGCCAAGCAGATATGCAGCAATCAGGCTAAATTACTGATCGTACAAATTTATGCTAAAATGATTTTTTCTTCAATAACAAGGTATTTTATTTAGTATTGAAGTGAAATTAAGAATTGGGACTATCCAGATGTTTTATTATGTGCGCAGGGGGGAATCAAACGCACATGCGTAAAGCCTACGAGAAAAACTTGTTTGGTGATTTTGAGCTGCGGATTGTAGATCATTCCGGACATTGGACATCCGGATTTCGTGCTTTGTACTGTACTTGAAATTAAAAATTCAAATATATTTGGAAATCCATATTAATACAATACAAAACAGATACATTATGAATTTTTATGTTCTTCTATAAAATTCATAACCAAAAATGAAACTTAACACTAGTACTTCATATTCAACATATGATTAAATAATTATTATAATTTAAGAAACTTAAATAGGAGAGAGTTTCATTAAGACTAATAGTCAAAACAAAATTAATTTTACAAAAAATATACAGATAGAGATATAGGGTAGAAATATATGCTGTATTTTCTGCACATAAAAATAGACATAATAATTTCTATACATAAATGTATTTTGGTTATTTTTTTATTTTGTTAAAATTAATAAACACAATTTTTCTCATTTTTAAATCCAAAAAATTATGAAAAACATAACATTTACTTACAAAAATGAGAAAAATACTACAGCCTTTATGCATAAAAATTTAGCTATTGGCTTCATTGGAGCAAGTTCATTTTTATTAGCTTGATAGAAAAGTACAAGTGCATACATAGCTACCTAAAAAAACAAAGAAATCATTAAAAAAATTTACAACAAACACATTTTAAAAAAGAATAAAACTAAATGCACTTTGTAATCCCATATGTAATTATAACACGAATGAAAAGTCTAAGATAGAAAACTTTCATTTAATTCTTTGGTAAACCTTTACCGTTAGAATTCTATCATTTGACCGCAGTGTTAGTTCAATAGTGTTTTTGATTACACTCTTGCTTTGAAATTGATTACACTCTTTTTCTTACATCTTGTTTGAAATTTTTAGCAAAATCATGAAAACATCTGAAGTTCAGCAAAAGGCTAGCTTTAAAAATAAGGTTGGAAACCAATTAATAATACTTTTTAATGCTTTTATAAAGAGTGCTATGCCTAATAATGGAAAAGTATAGCTAATATTGTAGAGACATTAGGTTCTTTTTTGGAAGCAGTAGAGATGAAAAATGAACAAACACTTTCACCGGGAATCAAACCGCGGACCTCTGGAATATCGGCCCAGTGTGCAAAACAATACACCACGAAGATAAGCCAGGAAGGCAGGGAAATATCTTATATACTCCCCCTTTTAAAGGGCGACTAGGGTTTTTTGGGGACCCAATCGCAAAATCTTGGGTTGGGAGAATCATCATCCACCACTCTTTTAGTTTGGGCACCACTTTAGAGCCAGAGAGATGAAAAATTGGCAAACACCTTCACCGGGAACCGAACCGTGGACCTCTGGAATACCGGGCCAGTTTGCAAACCACTACACCATAAAGGCACGCCAGGAAGGTGGGAGAAATACCCTATAATATTACTACTATAAAGCACTGAATTAATATTTAAATACAAAAAATTTCTAATGTTTTGTATATATAGTGAAGTATCCATGAAACAGCATTATGGTAACTATTGGATTGTTTCTTCACATAGAGAATAGATTCATGTTCTATAAAGTTAATATGGAATTATTAATTATATAATATGACATTCAAGATATTAAGGTACTGCTAGCAACATTTTACATCTGGTGAAAGGGCAAATTTATGCTGAAAAGCATATTATTACAATTGCAAGCATTTAATGGGCATCAACACTAAAGGCAGAGAAGAGGTTAAGATGAGAACTGTAGTAGGCAGACATTTAAAAAGAGCATAATTAAAAAAATCATAGTTTAGGTTAATTGATATGTAAACACATAGTACATGATTCAGTATTTAATTAAGACAAGATTGTTCTTATGTCAAACAATGAATATTATTAAAGAGATTTGAAAATGTACACTGCGCAAAAAGAAAAAGGGACAGTTATTCTATCTCTCATTTTACTTCTATCTCTCGCTTTACTAGGCCAATTGACGAAATTCAACCTGTGGTTTTTATGTCTCAAAAGCGCGACTTAGGATACATATTAAATTTATATACAGCATTGTCCTAGTATAGGTATTTTGACACAAAATCGGATTATTTCTGAAATAACATGCCAATTTCTTTCCATATTTCGATTCTACGACTCAAATTATGCCAAACTGCCAAGTTTTGTAAAAATCGCACAAGTCGTTTTTAAAAAATTAGCTCTCAAAATTTTAGCTCCTCAATGTTAATTCAATTTGGCATGTATTTATTAATATCTCTTTTTTTTATTACACTTATGCGATTCCTTCTTTCACACTTCAAAATTTAGGTTCATTCCAAATAAAATTGGCCTTTTTTTAATGCTTTATTTTTAAAATTTGTATTTTTAAATAAATTTTATAAATTTTTCAAAAACCATTTTGAATTATAACCTGTACAAGTTTTGCTATCATCTTCTTTTGGTAGATGGGTTTCTAAGCATACCTGCAAAAAATTAGAGTTTTTTATTTAAAATTTCCCAAGATAAATTACAATTTACATTTTGGCACGTTTTGAAATTTGGCGTATTAATTATAAGCGATAATAACAAAAATGTGGTTTATGCACTTTGTTAAAATTATCTGAAAGTATGATAGATGACTTTTTCCCTCTTCATGGATAATGAAGAAAAAGGAAAGGAAAATAGAATGCTATAAATTAAGAAGTTCGCCAAGTGAATTATTCTTGGTGCAAACTGAAAAAAATTTGCCAAGATATATTTTTAAATTCTCATCAAAAATTACAAAATTTAATATCTACACATAATTTGAGGACCAGAATCGAAATATGGAAAAAAATTGGTATGTTATTGTCCAATTTTGTGTCAAAATACCTATGTTAAAACAAAGCTATATATAAATCTAATATACATCCTCAACTGCCTTTTCGAGACACGGAAAAAGAAATTTGAATTTAATCAGTAGGCCCAGTAGAATAGGAGATATAGAACTGCACCCTTTTTCTCACAGTATACCAGACATGTCAATATATCATTCCATATGTATTAGCTAATGTTCAGCTAGCCATAAACATGGAAATGGCTGGTGATCTCATAACTGTTGCAAATCATGATCCACAGCATTTATGAAAAATTAAGTAGGAGATGAAAAATAGTACTTCCTATTTTATATTTAGACTATGCAGGCATCAATAGTATGGAAATTATCAATGTCTCCACACAAGCAGAAATTCCATTGATGTTACAACAAAGGGAAAATAATGCTAAAATCCTTTTTTGAAATTTAAAGTATCCTTCATCTAGAATATAGTTCTACTTTTTTATAATAATGGCCAGACATGAATACAATGAATGCAAGCTAAGCATTCATTGGGAATGTTCAAACTCATAGATCATTAAGCAGTCATCATTATCAGGAATAGAGCCACAGGGATGAATATCATATCTTCAAGAAAGGATGATAGATAATTACTTACACCCACGCCTTCTTTGGGATTCACATCTAGGTGAAACAACATGGCAGTGAGCTCTGCTAGCTACCATACTGATGATGCTGTTTAAAGTGTCTGAAGAGTTAATGCACTGTCAATTAGGACATCTATCCCATAATGCAATTTTACAAAAAAAGTCTCAGTTATTCACCAAAAGAACTGCTAACCTCTCATATTCCCTGTTTTCAACTAACTTCTTGATTTCTATGACTCATTTATTTTCTCAGCTGGAATATCCATTCCAAGATCATCTATTTTTGAGCACAGAGGAACTGAAAAATGCAATGCAAATTGCACAGAAAACTATTACTAAGAATAACTCTCAGAAGTGCTTTGATGGGCTTTTGCTGAATCAAGAACATTGTCTCAAGAGAGTCTCATTTTAAAGGAGGGTGTGTTCCTGTTTTATAATTCTAATACAAAGATTTGTAGACCAGTTTTGGTGTTTGGAACTTTTGGGGGGGGTTTCGCCTGGGTCCTTTGGTTTCTGTGCAAGGATGACAGAAGCCTATCTGGACATTTACTGTGGCAACAATTTGGAGAGAGTCGATTCCTCTTCCACATGTTCGTGCTCCTGTTCATATTGCATGGCCTGTGCAGAGGTGGTCTGCAGACATGGGAATTCAGGAACTGAACTGGCCTTTTCAATGTCTTGAATCCCATAGAACATGTGTGACTTATAGAGCATACTAGACTCACAGAATGGGACTTATTGAACAATCCCACAGAACACATTACGTTGGAATCTAGGCTACATCGCCTTAAGTAAGTGATAGAACTGACCAGTGTTCTGAAAAAATTGTATGCAATTCTTGCTGAAACATTTCAAACACTAGTGAGAACCTTTCCAAGAAGTAGTATTATTGTTGCAAAAGGTATCCCAACCTTGTACTAATTTTTCACTTATCTGCGGGAGAAACAAAATATACAAGCACCCTAATACTTTTAATTACGTAATGTATACTCGCATAGATAATATTAAATAATAATAAAATAACTCGCATAAAATATACTCAGATGAAAATGTAGTTTTAATTGATGAAGAAAATTTTAAGAATCACTTACAAATTGTGATGCATTATTTATAGCGACCACATAAGGATATGCATATTTTCCAGAAAATTTCCCTTCACCATATACTCCAAAAATTTCAGTTAGTCTATAAGAAAATTTCATCATAAAATTATGCAACATGGGCGATTAATTAAACTATCATTCATAAATATCATTGAATTATGAACCTCAAAGGATGAAATATAGTAAATGATGAAATATTAAATGATAAAATATGACACATATATGGTCGATAGGCCACAGATCTGATTTTTTTTATACAAGGGGGAGTCAAATGAAACCCATAATTATTTTTTTTAATATTATTTATTGGTCACACAGGGTACAGAAGTAAATCACTTTTCAACATAGTACCCTCCTCGTTCAATCCAAGTCCGCCAGCGCTTCGGAAGAGCCTGAATACCTGCAGAGAAAAAAGTCTTTTGGGAGACGGTGCAACCACTCGTGCACCGCGTTGCGTACCTCTTCATCGGAGTGGAACTTCCTGCCGCCCATTGCTTCTTTAAGCGGACCAAACAGATGGAAATCGCTCGGTGCGAGGTCTGGCGAGTAAGGGGGAGGTGGGAGGCATTCAAATTTCAGGTCTGTGATGATCACAACCATTGTACGCGCCGTGTGGGGCCGTGCATTGTCGTGTTGCAGCAGCACACCGGCTGACAGTTTCACATCGTTTCACGTTGACATCGTTTCGTTTTGATGGCAGGCCGGAGATGATTTTTTAGGAGGTCCGAGTACGTAGCACTCGTCACAAAGGTTCCTCGTGGTGTGTAGTGTTCCAAGATGATGCCCTTTTTGTCCCAAAAGAGGGTCAGCATAACCTTCCCTGCAGACGGCTGTGTCCGAAACGTTTTGGGTTTCGGTGATGAGGAGTGGCGCCACTACTTGCTCGCTCGCTTTGTTTCAGGCTGATGGTAATGCACCCATGTTTCGTCACCAGTGACGATTCGTGACAGGAAGGCATTACCGTCACGTTCAGCACGCCACAAAAGGTCTTCGCACGCATCAACACGTCGCTGTTTCAGTTCAGGCGTCAGTTGTCAGGGCACCCATCTTGCAGACACCTTATGAAACTGGAGAACATCATGCACTATATGATGTGCCGATCCATAACTCATGTGTACACATGCTGCAATTTCATCTATTGTCACACAGCGGTTTTCCAAAACGATGGCTTTAATGGCTGAAATGGTCTCTGGAGTCACTACACGCCGAGCCTGGCCGGGGCGTGGAGCATCGGAGCACGGACGTAACACCATTTGCAAATTTCCGGCCCCATTCATAGATTTGTGGCTGTGACAAACACGCATCTCCATACTGAACCTTCATTCACCTAAAAATGTCAATCGGTTTCACACCTTCACTTTGCAAAAACTGAATCACAGAACGCTGCTCCTCGCTGGTGCATGTGGCTGGTGGGGCTGTCATTTTGGAACTGTTGTTGCGCCGGTGTTTTTGCATCTGCCGGCTGCTGACACTTAAGAGACATCTGGCATATTATCGGAAACAGGCATGCCAACTTACAGCTCACTGGCGCCATATGCGGATTTTTATTTCTACTTTTATGGTTTTCAGTTGACTCCCCTACGTATATTTGTGAATGACACAATATCAGAAGAAAGAACAGGAAGATGATGTCTTACATATAAATATACTTGATCACATTTTACTTTAAAATTTGTACACAATCATTTGTGAAAGCAATTACACATGAGCTAATAGCTCAAATTCACTAATGCACAAGATTTTTATATAACCTATGTATTTACACAACCACCTTGCCACAATCTGGCGATTTTTCACAGATGAAAAAGTAAAAATTACTTATTGGATGCAGGATAATGGTTTTTGCGCCTTAAAAAAGAAAAAAAAAAAAAAAAAAATCCCAGGCTATCAATATTTATTACAAGTTGGCAAACATTATTAACATATGAAAAGAAAATGGTACTTTTCCATTTTGCTGGCGCAAATCTCGCCAAGCAGACAGATTGGCGACAACATACAGTACACACATAGAAAATGTTAACAAATGTTAGTTCTAAGAATTTTTTATTTTGAAGGCATAAACATTTTAATATTGTTTAAAATTTTGTAAAAAGTCAATAAATAAAGACAATAAATTTGTAAAAAGACATTAATTTAAGAATTTATTATGCTTTCATGGTTTAACAAGCTGATTCTCCGGTTCATATCATGTGGCCCCAAGTGACATCAACTCACATAAACTACGCTACAAAAATCTAATTCTCTCAGTAATTTTCTACATTAATTTCAATTTAAATCTTAATTTGGAATACAAGTTTAAATGCAAGAATTAATTCAGTTTGTATGAATAGCTTACTCAGAAATTATGTAAAACTGTAGTGCTTTACTTCACTAGTGCATTCTCTTTAGAATTGATGAATTTAACCCTTTGCCTCTTCTATATTTTCGCCTTCGGGTGAGCGGTGTGACTGCATTCTAATCGACTTAATTACTGTGAATGGCCTTAGGGTATAAAACTGTACTACCTGATAAAAATTCTATGTAATTGTATGCCAGTATTGAAAGAAACAATCAATCTAATAAGAAATGGCTGCGATTTGTTTTGAAAATGAGGCATAAAAGGTTACCAATGAGGATATTCTGTTTGGCATCAACTGTACCATTATGGGCGACTTTTTTGGTTGCACTGGCAAAACAGAAAAGTACCAAGGAAACATACTTTAGCAATTTAAAATATAAATTTAAATTATTTAATAAGGATTTTGTAATACATTAAAAAAAGTACTTACATTCTCTTCTCCAAATCTTCCTTTAATTTTTTTGTGCTATTCTTCTCCCTAGTACACAGCGATTTGCTTAATCGCTGTGTACTAGGGACTTTCATGACTTAATCATGAAAGCTAGGGAGACCTGGCTTCATGCAAAAGCAGCTATTAAGAGAACCCATTTTCTTTCTTTTTCCCTTTAGAAAATTTGCAGCAAAATTCTGTATTCTTGCAGAAATTTTACTGTACTGTCTTCCATTGCTGGCAACTTCCACAAGCTTATATTTTAAAACTAAGTTTAAGGCAAAAAATATCGTGATTTGTTTATAAAAAAAACACTGGAATTTGCAATACAAGAAAATAGAATGCATATAAAAATGGTGGCATTACCCATACTGTTATTAGCACAGTTGCCCAAAGAATGTTTATGTGTATGGTTGCCTGAGTTTGACACATTCTGAAAATTTGGTGACTCCTACTAAGACGGTTGCGTTAATACATAAGTACCAATTTTTGATTTAATGAGTCACTAAACAAAAGATTTTAACTCAATGGTCAATATATGTAAAATGACACTATTACAGCATTAACCCAGATTATTATGGAAAATAAATTTTGTCAAGTCTAAATTAACATTTCTTACATCAGAAATTTGTATATAATTATTGAACATGAAAATTTTTTTCTTTTTTTCAAATAAAAGTATTTTTAGCTGAGGAATTTTCTTTTTATATAATTAATTTGTGGTAACTGCATGATAATAATAATAAAATAACATAATATAATAAATAAGCAACCAACTTACAAAGACACTAAAGTAGTCAAAGGGCGAATGATAGTATATTGTAGAATACCATGTTTACAAGCTTGTATAAAATACCTAAAAAGAAGAACTAATAGTAAATAACCATAAATTTCTATTTAAATCTTCAAATACAACCTTGCACTGAAAATTGTTATGTGATATGAATTATCAAGAAAAAGTTATCAAAACAGCAAATAATAAAGTTTCAAAATGAATAAATTACAATTTAATAAATAAATAAACACATTATTATAACTAGATATTTAACAATGAAAGATTAACCTAAGCACATACAGATAATATAAATAGCTGGTAAATGTTTTATTATAAAAACTGAAAATTTTATTTTTACCTGTAAAGAGACCAAAATTTTAATTCATCATGCCACTAAAATCTATGCTTATCAATAACTAATGGGATTATCATATCTAATGATGTGTGAGGCTAAAAGAAACTTTCCTGAGAAAAGAGCTGGTCTGTCATCTACTACTGAAGAGTTCCTAGCCTAAACATTTTTTATTGAAAGTGTATCCCACCTAGCTATGCAGGACGTTTACAAACTGAACTGAAAATGTTTCATTTGAAGAGCTGTCCTGCATATGATTTCTCCAAAGAACTAGTTTTACATAAGTCAACCAACCAAATATCCCCAAAATAAATATTCTGAGAAGTGTTTCTTTTACCACACTGTTGAGGGTAGCTTGCAGATATGATATGTTTTAGTAGTTAAAATATTTTTAATAAAATTAAATTTTGCCAATGAAATTTAAATATTTTCACTATTATGGGATCAAACCTTCTCAGTTCTTGAACACAGTTTAAAAGATACTTTTTATAACACTTGAATAATTTATTCTTTACATCTAGAATAGATGTACAACATCATGAAGAATATTTTGAGAAAAATAAACATCTAGTAAGTTATGAGATCCCTTATGGATAAATTGACCATTCTCAGTAAGATATAGTCCAATTAATAAATGAGCTACATTGATGAAATTTCATGCTAAAAAGGAAGAAAAAAAAAAAAAAAAAAAAAAAGCATTTAAGAACAAACATTTGGAATTAATGAGAAAAAACATTCAAAATAGTCTTTCCTTTTGTGCCCATTTAAATTATCAGCATGCTGTTTTATAATAATTTAATAACATACTTTTAACATATTTTATAACATAACAAATGAAATTTCCACCACAATGGAATTCATTCGGCAGGACATAGTTTCCCACGTGCTAACATGGAAATAATTCTAATCTGTTTCTGAGCTTGGTTCAAAATCCAGAGTTCAGGGATTATTAACAACACTAACCATGTTGTAAAAAGCTAAGAATTTACTTAGCTATAAAAAGACTTACCATATTTGCTGGCATATAAGATGCACTTTTTTCTTTGAAAATAGGTCTGAACAATGTGGTGCGTCTTGTATGTGGATACACAGTTTATTCGAAGTTAGCATTTCGCAAGTTTGTGAATGAGCCATAGCTTCATGGGATGATGTGAAAACAAAGACAGTGGTTAAATCATTTAAAAAGTGTGGCATTAGTAATACAGTGGATGGTACAGAGGATAATTTGTTGTATGAGCACTCAGATGCTGATTTAGATGAGGATTCAAGTGACTTAATTCTGGATATGAATGTCTGGGTTTTGACGAAGAGAATTAAAAAGTGTTCTTTCCCAGACAGATTGGGTATTTGCAGAAAATATTACTTTATATTTGTACTTATATTTAAAATACAGTAAAATTCATTATAATGATCAGTACTAAAGTTTTATTCTTCAAAAATGTGTATAAAAAGAGGGTGGGTCTTATACGCCGGCAAATATGGTATATACGCTATGCATTAACACAGTCTTAACATTTTTTCATTTTAGTCTTTAATCTCAGTCTTCTTTATCTTAAGAAGAACTCTCCTTGGCTTTGCTATATGTCCAGTTTGGATTTCTTAAAATGTCAGATTTTCAGACATTATTTAAAATGATTTACTTTTTCCACAGGAATGATGTGAAGTACCATGAAGCTTTGAAGTAATTGACTACACAATATTAGCACTGAACAGATCTGCCACTTTGTTTGCCTCTGCTCGACTAGGCCGTGATTACTTGCCTATAGACTAGATTTCTTTCTATTTCTTTAAAATGCAACTGAGGATTACAGAAGTATCAGTTCTTTGTGTTCTCCATATTTTCATCAAAAGAAAATTTTCTTTGAGCTTCTTCATGTTTCTGCTCAAGAAAGGTTTGCAATTCTTTATAGGTGATATAATATCATGAAATTAGGTTATATGCCTGATCATCTCCTTGATTTCTTTGCTTGTATACAGACACATTTTTTTGTGTTTACATACTGCCTAAATAGAAAGTAAGGCAAATTTGGCCCCATGTTTAACATGTTAATAATGTCTGATGAAATTTATATGCAAGGGGTTCTAGCCTTCTACAGGCATTCATTATGTGAGCCTTTCATTGTGCAAGGGATTATTGTACATATCAAATAGAATACGGAAATCATCTTGCAACAAAATTTGGTGACAAAATTGAATGCCCCAAAATGAATAATTTTAGCACTTTCTGCTTATCAACACTCTCCTCCTGAAAAGTCACAAACTGTTGATGACCAATTTTTTGCCCAGATAAGATACAAAACCACTTTAAAAAATACCACACTAAGAATTACATAAAATAGGAGCTAATATACAAATGCAAGAAGCATCCACAATAAAACAATTTTTAGCTTTAAAAAAAATCAGAAATTTGGAGAAATTCGGTATCATGCACAACTTGGCACTGCGCACACTGTTGTTCTTCCCTTGTACACATCAATCTATTTTGACTTAAAAGTCACAGAATTGTACAAATTTTGGTCCATAAAAATTGATTGTTTATGAAGTGCTACTTCATGAAAAGCAAATTATTGCATTCTCTACTACTGGACAAAGCACTATCCATATTTTTGAAGAAATAGAATGCCTATTTTCATCAGCTGGCAGCCTTTATGGTTCTTTATAAGAAAAAAAAAAAAAAAATATGTACCCGAATAAAACAAAAACAAACACTAATCAGGAAAGTGACTGTCAAATTTGAAGGCTAAAATCCTCTCTCATCTGCTGTATGCTAGCATATACATGGGTTGCCATATAAATACATTTTGGTCACATCATAGGTTGCCTATTCTGGTGACATAGTGCATTGCTCATAAATACTTTTCAGCCTGGTGCACATAAAATAGAAAATTTTACATTATTTGGCTGGTCTATACATCTGCATTTGAAAATTATGATTGATCTTTCAATTTTATCATTACTTGCTACAAAGGTTACAAAGAAATTCGTTCAACAAGAATAAAGGAAAACAAGTTAAAATTTGTCACTCAAACCAATTAATGTATAGATATTTATTAAAAAACTTTATAAAGAAACATAAGGTTCATATTAACAACATGCACATGGTAAAGAAATCAACATATGCTAGGATGAAAAAAATATACTTACTTCCCACCTGGGCAAGGAGGAAAGCAACATAAAGGGAAAATATATTTTACTGGTTGTCTACATTCTAATGAAGAAGATAAGTCCATTTCATAATGAAGAAAATTTAATAGAAACACCATAAAATTATATATCACATATGCTTCATAGCATTCTCGACATGTGTCCAAATAAATGCCAGTCTTTGGGAAACTTAAGGCAAGCCACTGAAATGGAAAGATGAATTAGTTAAGCTGCACTTATATAAGGCAAGCTAATTAAATATTCACCATCATAAATGAAAACTAATATAAATGAAGACTTACAGCATTAAGAGCATATATTGGTACCATCCATAGTATTCTAAAAAATAAATAAATTTAGAATTTTAGTTTTTTAATAAAATATTTTAAAATTTTTTGTAGAAAACACTTTTTTTTTTTTCATAGAAATAAATATGTTCTCATGTATAAGATGGTAATAATGACAACTTTTTATGAAAGAATGCAATGTACTGGCAGCAGTATATTAAATTATTAAGTAAGTATGCTTTACATTAATGCTTGAGAGAATACACTAAACCAGTGCTCCGCAACCTTTTCTCACCTGCGACGCACAAAAAATCTTTCTGGAATTTCGTGGCACACCAAAGAGTTCAGAGTTATCAAGGAAGTGCCGAAAAAATTCAAATGCTGACACACTTACAATCACACACACACAACCACACAACAGTGAAATATATAAAAACATTTAAAATAGACATTATTAAAGAAAAAAATTGTCATTGTGTATTAAATACATGATAAAAAATTGCAAAATGTCAAATACATGTATTTGATTGTGGCACACCTATATCCTACTGGCGGCACACCGGTTGCGGAGCACTGCACTAAACTAACTATAATACAGCTAAATATCCCCTTATAATAGTCATACAAAAAAATTGCCAAGATTGCTAATTATAATTTAATACGATCTAGGATGAAATATAAGTTTATGTTATATCAAGCATGGTTATGAGATTGGAAGAATTTAAAACCACACCAAAAATGTGACACTTCTACCACTATGTAAATTATAGACTATGCAAAGGTTTAACTCGTATTTCAAGTTAAAATGGCTATCACATTTGGTCGCCAAAGTAACAAACTTAGATAGCCTGCTTGTAATGTACAAATTTCATATGCCACTAAATGCTTATATTGTGGGCTGCTTAAATATTTTGTACCATTCTTTTAATACACTTGAAGTTTTGATATACTTCATGGCAATAATGCATTATATTATCCATAGGAAGGCAATATGAAAGTTTACCAAAAGCTGCTTTACATCCACAGTTTAGAACAACAGACACATTGATCATTTTATCTGTGATCTGATCTTTGAAGCTGGAATTAAAGCCATGCCAATACTCTGATGATAACATCCTTTGTGACATCTCTACTGACTTTTCTCATCCATTCAAGTCAAACTCCTTTCACACACTCATCTTTAATCATCTGCAAAATCTATCACATCCAGGAATTGCAGCTATGATGAAACTCAATTGTTCTCATTGTGTACGGCCTGATATGAGACATCATATCGAAAATTGGGTTGGTTGAAATCCTGTGAGTCTTGCCAGCGATCGAAAATAACTAGACACACTAAAGCACCATTGGGTACATTCTTTCTTCTTGATGCATGCTTTTCACAAATTCATATGGATATTGTTGGCCCGACACTGCCATCAGAAGGCAACACGTACCTTTTGACTCTAATAGATAAATTTTTCAGATGGCCTGAAGCCATACCTATCCCCTGATATGAAAATGGAAAGTATTTGCAGAACTATTTTAAACTCATGGATATCTCACTTTAGCTGCCCATTGGTTGTAACAACTGACCAAGGTTCTCAGATGATATCTGCAATGTTTTGCAGAGTTTACTCGAATTTTGAAAACAAACAGAATCACAACCACAGCCTATCATCCAATGTCGAATGGCATTGTTGAATGATTTCACTGGCATTTAAAATCCACGCTTAAGGCTCATGAGGCCAATAACTGGACTGAAACACTTCCAGTTGCTCTGCTTGGCATCCGGACAGCCATTAAGGAGGATCTGCGAACATGCTGTGCAGAACTAGTGTACGGCACAACTCTCAGGCTGCTTAGTGATATTGCTAACATCATCTAGGATATCTTCAATTTATCACTTTATCACCAATCTACAGCATAGATTGCAACAATCAAACCCAATAGCGACATCTGTACATTGTCAAAACAAGTATTATTATGTAAATTTGAACCTAAAATAGTGCACCTCTGTATACTTATGTATCAATCACGTAAAGCCACCGCTGTGCCAGTTATACTTAGGTCTGCACAAAAAACTTACCAGAACAAACTGTTACAACTGAAATAAACAGCATTAAATCCACTGTGTTCCATAGACCACATCAAACCGGCCTATTTGCTTTCATACTCTCATTTACCTGGACTGAAACCACCAGACTTACAGACAGTTCAAGAAGATAAATCTAATCTAATGAACTTTAAGACACTAACTGTCATGAGATCGGGAAGGCACTTTCCAAAGAAACTTGATTCTTATATTAAAATTTAAAACAATGTTTGAAATTTGCTTTTTCATATATTTATTAATACTTTACACTATAATGTGTGCATAGTACGTAGTCATAATGTTGAACAGCATTTTAAGTTTTCTAATTTTTTATCCTAATTTTGTGTTAAAAAATTACTCGACAGCACAGATCCTCTTAAATATTTCATCATTCCTTTAAGCTGCCATCAAAGGAAGTGTGGAGATTCTCTATAGTGACAGTAGTAGGGAGTGCAACTTGTGTCCCCTTGTGTATGCTGATAAATGCAGCAACCCTAGGTAGAAGCGATGAGACCGGACCGGCCGTTCGAGTAGTAGCATGCATTTTTGAAGTCTCGAAATAAAGACAAATTTTTACTGTGTAATATGTCTGCTGAAAGTTCTTAATGAGTACAGTGAGAACATTTAATGTAATACAGTCAAAAGTCGTTAATCCGGACTCGTCGGGACTTCGGCGATTCCGGATTATCGATTTTTCCGGATTATAGATCATCAGTTTAAATCTCGTAAGATGGCATGCAGAAATTCTAAAATTAAAAATATGAAACCGTAATTTATGAAATAAAGAACAATTATGATCTAAAGGGTATCAAAATTTGCAAAAAGAAAAAGCTTAATATTTATTTGTTTACTTTATTAAACATTTCTTTCAATGTAAGTTGTTTAAGTTTTGTTTCGTTTCATGTGATAATACTTTCTCTTTAATTCTATTAAACAGACATAATTTCTTGTTCAGTTACAAAGTTCCGCCGTTCAAGTCCTATAATTGCTGTGTCAAGAACACCGACTAATTTGTCAATCGAAATTTTTTTTCGTTTTCAATAACCTCTGTCACTTTCTTCTTCGCTATCGGAAGCGAATTATAATGACGAGGAACTTGTTTTAAATCATATCAAAGACGGAGCATATCGAGATGAAATACTACATTTAGTAAGGAATTATAAGCCAAATAAAATAAAAACATCTGCCTGAAGATAAAGGATAGTGCTGACAGATCAACTTCCAATTCATTACGCGCCCGCCGCCGAGCAGCGTGAAATTGATAAACAGATTTCGGATTTCAAAACATACTTTCGCTTTAGATCCTTTACATATTAACAAATATATATCGGAAATTCGATTTGATATAATCGAAAGTTTAAGCTTACTTTTATAAAATTGCTCTTACAGTCTGCAAAAAATAATAAGCCGGATGCAATTCGAAAATTAAGGAACAACGCAATCATCAACATTAACTGAAATAGATAATTATTTAGCTTATACGTCCATTATACATAAAATGCGCACGCGAAAACGTATTCTGCACTTGCGCACACTCATATGCGCAGTCGTAAAAGGTCTTACGCGCACGCGTGAACGCCTCTGCGCATGTGTCAACGCGGCGCATGCGCAGAAAGTTTTTAGTTTTGATGTCCGGATTATAGATCATTCCGAATTATGGGTGTCCGAATTAACGACTTTTGACTGTATATGTAACTAGAATCCCGTGGGATACCCTACAACCACAATGATTACCACAATGCTTAACTAAATATTCAGAACATTTTAGTAGCTTCTGCACTTCTATCGAGGTACTTTTTTTTATTAAAGTGGCTGGCAAATTGATCTAGTTGTCACCAAAATCAGCAAACTTAATTGGCCGCTACGATGTAAAAATTCAAATGCTGCCAAAAGCCTCTCAGCTGCTTTAACAAGAAGTATGTTTTTCAACTTAATAAGTACACAAAGAAAATCTCAAACACAATTTTACTTCACCTAATTTAAATACTAATATCTTACTTTAACATAATGTACCTTACAAAGATAATTAATCAGCAGATTCTAAATTTACATTATGATGTTCTAATTTGAAGTATATACAAAGTGAACTAAAATAATAACATTTTCTACATTATATATACTCAAATGAAAGAACTGAATATAAACATCTAGCATACACTTAACAGACTGAGTATATTTGAAGCCACTAAGAATTTAATGAAATTACAGTGGCTCACATTTGTTTTCAGACACATATATTTTTTGAAATTTATTTGTACTAGATACAGGAACAGGGAAGGTACTTACATATTATCACAACCAGGTTGGCGCGATTTGTAAGTTTGAGTAAAAAAGTATGAATAGAAACAAAATGTACATTTATTAATTACAGATAATTTTTAATAGTTTTTTATATTATTTTGTTTTAAAATATAAAATAGCAATTAAACCCTTCCGGTTTCGAATTTGAATAAGTTGCAAAATTATTTTTTCGGCGGAAATCTTTTGGCTATTGCTTTTAGCACTGATTGAAAACCGTCTTCGCCATTATTCCAATCTATAACAGTTTTGTCAGCAATTCCCATCTCTTCTGCACAAAATTTAATTGAGGTTAACTCTTTACACCAACAATAAATGAAGTGCACCGCTGTCACAAATGAAATTCGGCTACCTTCAAACCAATTTCCGGTTTTCACACCCAAATGTTGATTGCACTCTTCGACGTTACATTTCCAGAAGATTTGCTTTCCAAAATACAGTTTCATTTTATGAGAATTTTTACAAGTACGTTCGTTCGGTATAATTCCATATCCCTGCAACAATTCAACAGCATCCTTTTTCACTCGCAGGGCAGATCCCAAATACCCATAGTTAAAGTATTTCAGGGCATTCAATCTAACCAGTAAGAAAAATAATTTCTTTACGAAAAACTACGTATAACACGTAGGGTTGCCGTAAGTAGGGTCGCCAAATTTGGCGATTTATGCGAATTTTGGCCT